GAGACACACAGACACAGACAGACAGACACACACACACACACACAGACACAGACACACAGACACACACACACACACACACACAGACAGACACACAGAGACACATACACACACACACACGCACACACACACACACAGAGACACACAGACACAGACAGACACACACAGAGACACACACACACACACACACACACACAGACACAGACACAGACACACAGACACACACACACACACACAGATACACACACACACACAAATATGACACAAAGATGAAGATTCTTAATAGTTGACAGTTTTTCCGTCTCTTCCTTTATGTTGAAACAAAAAACAAGGACAACTTTTTTTTTTTTGTGTTTACTGTTAAGACCTTCCAGTGAGCATCATTTATTCTGCTCTAAAAGTCAGTAAAAATATCAAAATAGTTGTTATGAGGCTTTGCTATTGTTTATCAAACACTGCACACATTCTCACTAGATGCGTGTCACTGGCAGAGAAACAGCTGCAGTGATCCTCAAATCCGATATTTATTTTCCTGAAGAATGAGTGGTGCAGAGTTAAACAGCGAGATGAGACACACTGTTTCTCACGTGCTCCAGACGGTAATGGCAGAACAGCTCAGTTTGTGATGACGGGAACGTGGACGGACTGATGAGTTCTTAATGTCACAAACATGAGTGTATGACGGTGAAGAGATGCCTGAGATTGAGGAAATAATTTACTCATCCTCATCATCATCATCATCATCACCATCATGGTTGTAGTCAGTTTCGTCACCAGGGTTGATTATTCCAGACATCACGTCTTCGGATCCAGGTGTCGAGCTCATCAGCGGTTGGCATGTTCTCTTCGTCATCCATCTCCATCCACACACTGTCAGCCTGAGAATCACACACACAAGACGAATCAAATAAGGAGACAGAATAAGATTGTACAAATTCATAGGAATAGCCACCAAATTGCCAAAATAGTTATAAATTGCCATGAGATTATGTTGGACAAACACACTTAGAATAATCACAAACATCCAAAATCTCCATCCAGCTTACAAAGTAGATGATGATGCTAGAGGCAGGGGACTGCATTTACATGACTGGAGTCTCTTAAGTGACTTGCTCTTGAATTTCATGACTTGACATTGACTTTATAACATCTATAGTTAAATGATTATTTTAAATCAATCGACATCAGTTGATAAAACTTAAGCTATGTAAGTACTGGCACCACTGATCAAAGTCTCACGATGGCCAATAAGCGTCCTAGAATTAAAAAATAAAAAAATAAATTGAACAATGAATCACCATTTTGAACGAATCAGCTGAAAGAATGAATCTATGACTCACTCATTAAGACACTGATTTGCCAACAACTGTTCGACCTCAACGGGAAAGTTATTTTGTTTTAAGAACTGTTCACCGAAAGAGGAACCAAAAGTAGCTCCTCTATGACACTGGAACCTTTATTTCGGAAACCGTAGACTCTGAGTTGCACTTGCGTGATCATTGGCATTAGAGACAAATGATGTGCTCACATCCTCAACATCCACCACACCGATCTGAGGAGACGAGAGGTCGATGCCGAAGGTCTTCTCCCAGTACGGCACCATCTGAGGGGACACAGAGGGGTCAAAGGTCAGACCTCGGTTCACATAGTGTAAGCGATGTCTGATACAATATTTCATTGTGAGATGTTGCATAAAAAGTTGACCAAAAAAAAAAAAATGATATAAAAAGAAATAGAAATAGCCCATATTAGCAAAAAGCTATTTACAATTTTACTACAGCGACATTTCTTTATTTATTTATTTTTTTCATAATATATATATTTTTTTTCAGAAATGATGCTGCTCAATCAAAATTCAATAAAGATAAATAAGTATTTTTTGATTGTCATAATCCAATTTTTTTAAATTCCTTGGAGGTTTTTAGAGCTGATACTCCCTGCATACTCATTAAACTCATTCAGTTGTCAATTATCTCCAGTAGAGCGCAGCAGAGTCAAACACACATGATCCTCATGTTGAAGCACCTGCTGAGCACACAATGTGTTGGGTATGTGATATAATGCATTGTGTATGTCATTAAATTGATTTGAGACATTATGAAAATATGAATTCACTATATCAACAATACCATAGATGACAAATGTAAAAATGACAGGCAATCTAACTCTATTCAGATCCTACAGAAAAAATAAATAAACACATTTTATCCAAGGCATCTTATTTAAGGACACACATCGCTCAAAAGCATGTTCTTGGAGTAATCAAAGGTATGTTCAATGGATACAGTATTATAGAGGTTTGTCGTACCAGTGGGAAGTCGTCAGGATCGATCCAGATGATGCTTAAGTCTGGGTTCTCTGTGTTTTCTTGAGCCACTTCCTTCAGGATCTCCAGGACTTCATAGCCGTCTGGTAAAAGTCAACATTCAGTCATTTGGAGTCACGAGCATGAAATCCCTCAGAGACTCTCAAACTCAGATCAGTGTTTACCAGGGTCAGACTCCTCAGCGAAGGCCACGATGTGCTGTCTGTTTATATCATCTTCCTAAAACAGACACCAATCACAGAGCTAGTAACAGTCATGATCATGATAGACATTAAATGACATGAGACGCCACCGTTTCTGAACAGCCCTTTTCTCGTTAAAAACAGTATAAAATCCACACAAATACACTGCTATCCTCAATGTAAGTTAAACATGAGCTCAGGTTCAGGTTCAATAGGAATTTTCCAGGAAATAGTTGTTCTCAAACTGCGGTGGATTTTGAGAGACAAAAAGATTAATGCATTTTTTTTTTTTTAGGGGTCAAAGTTAACATGCACATTTAAGATATTAGTATTAATATCTATTAAACATAGTTTTGTTTAAACATTTTTTTTTTTTAATGTTGTGCTCTTAATGTCATAATATATATATTTTTTTTTTATTTTTTTTATTTTTTTTTCTTCCTCACAGCAAATGGGTTTTTAGACATGAGAGTTCTGTTACAACTATGTGGTCAAAAGCTTTTATAATCTTACTCTCTTAAATATTATGTCAGTATAAGATCAAACCATCAATGTGACAGCAACAGGATTGAACAGAAAGACAACATTTGTGAGAATGACTCATACTGCACAACGGATTGACTTTGGCTTACCCAGATCTCATACATGCTGTGAGGCTCCAGTTTTCTCAGAGTTGGTCTAAAATAAGTAAAAACAAAGATGCAGATTTTACTCAAGCATCCACCTGAGAGGACTTGTGAGGAAACATTGTGATTC